GATGAACTCTAGGGTCTTGCTACTCAAAGTGTGCTGCTGGAGCCAGCAGCATCGGCCTCACCAGGGAGCATATACCCACCTAAGAACTCGTGAATGGAGATCTGTATTTTAACAAGATCCCAGGTGATTTTTATGGATATTGAAATTTGGAAAGCGCTGCCCTCAGACCCAGGCAAGTTGTTTCGTTTTCTATATGAAGAAGTATAATCCCCATTCTAGACAAGAGCAACAATAATAATCACAAAACCAAAAAGAATATGTCTCTGAAATCATACTGGATATAAGTAACAAATAAATAGCGTAATCTATAAGGCCAACTCAACATATGTGGAACAACCTTCCTACACAGACTGAAATGTTCAGCTAGAGATCTTTATACATAAATCCACCTTGGTCCTACAAGCCCGATGAGTAAGTCATGTAGGGTTGCTGAATCCAAAAGCATTTTTGACTTGCAGTCTGCGGTACTACGACTCAGGACAATCAGTCTGATCAAAGAGCCCTCATGACCCTTGCTATCTCCTAATATGAGTACAGATAGAATGTGGCAACCTGAAGTATGCTGGTTTAGGTGGAGGCCAGAAAATAAGTCCTTCCCCTGGCAATCCTGTATCTGATGACAATGCAAGAAACCTCGGGAGACCAAAGCCTCTACTGATACCACTTTTAAATTTTGCCAGAGAATATCTAGAGCAGGATGAGCTCCTCCTCCTAGTTTTAGAAAGATTTGTTACTTTGCAGATATGGGACGTCGGGGTCTTTTGTTAAGATAAGGCTATTGATCAACTCTCTGACTTATTTCTTAATGGTTTTCATCCTTGATCCAAATACAAGTGAAGCCATTTGTGACTTATTCGTCTTTGTTTGTGTCGTTGGCTTTGACAGACAGTAGTCAATGTAGCGGTCAACAAATATTGACTGGGCCAGCTCTCCCTGGGGGCTGGCCAGGCAGACTCTATTCCCAACTCTGTCGCTGCAGCTCTTTCATGGGCTCAGCTGGGCAGAGACTCAGAGAGGCGGCTGCGGAGGAGGGGCCTGCCAGGTGGTGGGAGAGAGACCAGAGACCCTTGTTGATACACAGACAGACCATTAACTCCCTACCCGTTAAGGTAAAAAAGGCAAGACATCCTTTCCTATTTTCCTTCACATCCTTGCCCTTCAGGCTGCATGCAGCCCTGTTGCTACTTGTTTTCTCCTTCCAGGATGTGTCTGATGTTAATTTTTCCTAGTGTGCATTGGATTAAAAAAGAAAATAGGTTTGTGGTAGAGGGAACATGGTGTGTTTTGCCACAGGTGGGCCTTCAAAGTTAGACTCTGGCCTTCTACAACTTGAGGAGAAAAGTCTGGTGCACAAGAAAAAAATCATACAAAAAATAATACTAGCTATATTTTTAGTGACTCTTTATTTCCCAGGCATTGAGATGGGTGTTTTATATGTAAATTTTTGAAAATCTAAAGTAGCAGAATATGCAAATATGACTATATAATTTATTTTCACCGCTCAGAAGAAGCAAACTCTCCTTTCCTAGGGGATGGGAAGCCATGACTGCTTTTCTAAAAGCTGAGCCTTCTTTCCCTTAGGAAAGGTAAACCAGCTCTTTGGTGGCATGGGCCAGTGGCTTCATAAATCATCCAGCATTTCTCCCCTAGAGCTACTAGACCTCATGAAACAAAGAGTAGGAAGATGTGCTTTTTCCCCCCCTAAAGGTTGAGAAAGAAGAGCTCTCTGACAATGGGGGTAATGAGTAAAAGTTTTATAAAGCAGAGTAGAAGGAATCGACAGATACCAACGCTGAAATGTCACATCTGTTGGAATTATCTGACAAGAATTTTAAAACAGCCATCATAAAAATGCTTTGACAAACAATTATGAACATGCTTGAAATAATGAAAAAATAGAAAGTCTCAGTTAAAAAAAAAAAAAAAGATACAAAGAAGAACCAAGTGAGGATTTTAGAAGCCAAAAATACAATAACAAAAAGAGAAACGGAATGGAGCTCATCGGCAGAACAGAGAGGACAGAGGAACTGGAAGACAGAATGATGGAAATGACCAATCTGAGTAATAGAGAAAATATAGACTAAAAAGGAAGAAATGAACAGAACCTTTTAGGGACCTCTGGCATTATAACAAATGTCATCAGAGTCTCAGAGAGGAGAAAGAGCATAGGGCTGAAAAAGTACTCAATAAGGACTAAAATTGGGAAACATAAAAATTCAAGAAGCTGAGAGAATCTCAAACACAATAAATCTAAAGAAACCCATAACAACACATATTACAATGAAGCTTTAGAAAAACTGGAGAGAAAAACAAAAAGTCTTGGAAGACACGTGAGAGAAATGCCACTTTACCTGCAGAGGAAAACCATTTGAATGACCGCGGAGTCCTCCTCAGAAACCACGGAGGCCAGAATGAAGGGCACAACATTTTTTAAGAGCTGGAAGAAAATAACTATCAGCTCTGAATTCCATAACTTGTGAAATTATCTCTTTAGGATAAACAAGATATTCTTAGATGAAGGAAAGCTAAGAGAATTTGTCACAACAGACTTACCTTAAACTAATGACTAACAGACGTCTTTGCAACAGAAAGAAGATGATAAAAAGGAATCTTGGAACATCTGGAAGGAATGTGAAAAGGACAATAAAAAGAGTAAAGATATGCGTAAATACGATAGACTTTTCTTTCTCTTCTTGTTTTAAATGATATTTGTCAGTCCAAGCAAAGAGCATCACATCGTCTGATGTGAGTTTTAATGTATGTAAAGGAACTATTTGAGACAATTATATTGTAAATAGTGGCAGTGTGCTGGGGACGAAGGGACTTAAAGGGAGGTAAGATTTTTACATTTCACTCAAACTGGTAAAATGTTGGCACACTAGATCTGTGTGATAATCTATATCTTGATTGTAGTGGTGGTTATAGAAATCTATACATGGGATAAAATGAAATCAAACTATACGCATACATGGTACCAGTGTCAGTTTCCTGGGTTTAATATTGTGTTATAGTTATACAAGATGCAACGACTGGGGGAATTGGGTGAAGGGTGCCTGGCAACTCTGTCTTATCTGTGTAATTTCCTGTAAATCTGTAGATATTTTAAAATAAAAAGTTAAGGGGTGGAGGGAGAGAAGGGGGGAGGGTAGGAGGAAGGGAGGGAGAAAGAGAGAGAGAGAATGAACAGAGGGCTGGAATTCTCATGTTTTTCCTGTTGTAGTTGTTTGACTTTAGGGAGTCTAGGAAAAGCCCAAGTGGTCTTGAGATGTCTGGGTTAAGTTCAGGCTAGATGGAGACTACATTAATTGAATTGAAATGGCTGTGGGTCAGCCTGAAACAAGATAATTTTGTGTCTGGAACACATGTTGGTTTCCTGTGTCCTTTCAAGGGAATCGATATATTGATTTTCATTTACCTAGCCATATGTGGTCAGGACATGGTTTATTTAGAAATATCCCCTCCCCCTCTGCAGCAAAAGACATTGAGGGGGCTAATCAAGAGGTCCACAAGCCCAGTTTTCCTAGGGAGGAGCAGGTGACAAAATAGAAAGCTGCCTTCTTTGAATTTCCTCCTCTTCCTTCCAGTTTGACCATCTGTGCCCACGGTGGGCTGGTCTGTCTTAATGATGTACATGTCATGTACACACAGACTCTCTGTAAGTCATCTCAACTCTACCTCCAAACTCCATTTCAGAATTTCTCACTCCTTTCTTTATCCATCCCAATCTTCCTTGTCCAAGTCACCATCATTGCCTGTGTGGATTACCTCAATATTCTCTTCTTGGTCTTCTTTCTTTCATCTTGCCCCTTAAAATCCATTCTCCAAACACCGGTCTGAGTGATAGTCTGACAGTGTACATCAGATTATGTCACACCCCTACTTAGCACCCTTTGCACTTAGAACAAATTTTCACCTGTTACCATGGCCTGCAGAGTCCTGCATGACCTGGCCCCTGCCTGTTTCTCTGACCTCATCTCAGCAATTCACTTTTCGGGCCATCCAAGCTATTTCACCCATGAAGACCTCACCCCATTCCTTGGAATGGGCCTCTTGCTGCTGCTTTTTGTGCAGCTGGCTCTTTCTTATCCTTTTCATTGTGGCTGAAATGTCTCTAAGTGGCCTTCTTCGACCCCTTTCTAAAGAAGCTTCCACCTTGTTGACTCCCCATTACATTTATTTTCTTTGTAGCATTTATTACACTTTCAAATGATCTTAGTCGTCTTCTTGTTTATTGTCTGTCACTTTCCTAGAAAGCAAGCTCCATGAGGGCAGGGACTTTGCATTCCTATTCACTCTAGTAGCCCCAACTCAATAAATATTTGTTGAAAAAGTGAATGAATAAATGAATGAATAAAGAATTATACTGTAAACTATCAGAGCTGGCAGGGACCTTCTTGCTGACAAGAACGCCCCCTGGAGACATTAGAAGGGTACCGAGGAGAGAAGATAATGACAGTAATCTGACATGTATATGCAGCACCTTTGAGTGTACAGAAGAACATTTGGAATTATTGTGCCTCCATTCAATGGACAGGAAGCAGTGAGATTCCTCAGGGTCACACAGATCGCAGCAGGCAGGAGCCTGGAACCCAGAGAGCAAATCAGCTTCTCGCCACACAGGCATCTGGCAGAGTACTTTGGAACAAGTGTCCCCATTGTTGCCAGCAGCTGTGTAGCTTTCACTGTTTATCCAGCAGCAGGGGCTTCAGGTGCTCTGCATCAGGCCTTGTCACCTGGGGGGAAAAAAATACTTTTAGAGAGAGAGAGAGAGAGAGAGAGAGAGAGAGAGAGCGCACAAAGTTAAGAAAGATAATTCCCCAGGGAGGGAAGAGACGTCAAGAAGCAATGTTAATGTGATGCAGAGGGAAGAGAGACAGAAGCAGAAGGTAGATGGCAAATACATAAATTGAAACGTTTTTAAATTGAGCTAGCATCCTGGATGCTTCGGTTTGTCAAACCTTTAGCATCTGTTCATTCATTGCAGAGAATGGTCAGAGCAGGACCCGGTCTCTGTTCTCTCGAGAGCCTCACGGTGCCTCTGTGGTCTCGCTCGGTGCTGAGAACACAGGGAGGCGTGCGCTCTGAAATCTGACCATCACGCTGCTGGATCATGGTCTCCCACACAGTCCTCTGTTTCCTCTGTCTTTTTGAAAAGACTGAGATAATGATGAAAGAATTTAAAAAGTGACTGCTGTTGCTCTTTTCCTGTTTCTAAAGAGTCATAGTAGTCAAGTGACTAACCATCCTAGTTTCCAAAAAGCATACATCTGAGCAAGAATATTACCACAGAAATTCCACTTGGATATACCTTTAATCATGTGGCAAATTACCTTATTAACCACAAGGGAGTCTAGTCTTATTATTTAATTAAACCATCTCTTTTCTTATTAAAACCACATGGGTTTTAACTTCTGTGTGGTTTTAGATTCTTTTCCCCTTCTTTGGATGTCTTTGTAATAGTAGCTGCATAAAAGAATTTCTGTTATTTTGTGTTGATGACTGAAGAGTTAGCAACGTTAAATAAAAGGGGGTGGGGGCATGGCGGAGATAGTCTGGATAGGCTCCCTCTGGCCAGCGACGTAACAGCCACTTGGGTGGTATGAAAGTCTGAGATGTGTACCCGTCGCTTACTGCTTTCTCTCGCCAAAACATCTGGAATACAAAATCCTGTCATTAGGCAGCCCACATGTTAGAAAAACAAAAGGACAGAAAAAAAAGAAAGAAAATCCAGACCCCCAAAATGGCTGGATAAGACCTCATTATTGCTGGTAGGAAATTAGACATTTAAGGTTATACTTCAAAGTAACTATTTTTATTACAAGAGGCTCCACATTTTGATTTATTGGGCAGCAAAACAAGATCGTGACAAATATTTCCACCACAAAGAAAAGACAGATCAGGCCTCTAAAAAGTCATATATTAAGAAGTTTAAAAATAAAGTTCGTTGCTACAATAGTCATAATGATGAAAATTGTATGTTTTTACTCACAGCCCCAAATACATGGCTGCTTTAGCACACAGCCTACAAGAAGAAATAATTTAATCTTGTGGGAAGTTTTTTCTTATCAAATAAAAGTGGTAACATTTTGTAAAATGAAACAGCTAAATTCTTAGCGAGTCTGTGCTACCTTTCTTCAAAGATTTGCACTAAGCAGGGCCTGTATATAATCTTACATTTCAGTCCGAGCTGTACCATTCAAGAGAGATACTAAGAACATAGGATGGGTTCCGAGGAATCTGTAAAGATAATTATTAAAGAATAAAACATAGAGCTTTGAAACAAAGCTGAAGGAATTTAGAATATTCGACCTTGTTAAAAAGAAACCCAGAAGGTTGGGATACTAACCATCTTAGGTAGAAGACACAGTATGTTGTATTAAAAGTGATACTTTGACTCACCTCCACCTGGACATGACCTTTTCTCTATAACGTGGACAATTCTAATTAGATTAACTCAGAGGAAGGAAGGCTTCAGTGAAGAGTGCGCATTACTGAATCTGGAAAATGAGTTTCTTAGGTGGGCTCAAAGTTGTCTTCTTTGTAGTTTTCTAAATAAAGAAGCACTTATTTTCCCAGGAGAGGGAACAGAACTTAGTGGAAAGAGCAGAGGCTGTGATGTGTGACTCAGGGCTTGGGTTCTAGTCTCAGTTCTGGTACTAATGAACTCTGTGACTTCCAGCCAAACCATTTAACTTCTCTCACCTTGGTTCCTCATCCATAAAATGAGATTGGACTAGGTGATCTAAAAGACCTCATGCGGCATATTTTGATTCTAGGAGGAGGAAGACAGAATGACCATAGGAGAGCAATAAGGTCCTTTCATTTTATTCTTATGACTCACTTGCTTAGGAGAGAAGTTTGAGTACATGTG